TAACGTCAACCTGATTATCAACGTTTTAGCGAATTTAGTTCATTGACTTGCTCCCGGTCTTCACGAGACAAATAAAACCTCAGGGCATAGAAAATGGCGATAAGACTGCATACACGGTGCGGACTTGTATAGAATCAGGAAATGGACCGAGTTTAACAGAAAGGAACCAAGCCACATCAGCGATTGCCAAGTTTAACTGGGCAATTGAATTTTTTACGAGAGAACGGTTGTTCGGATTTCTTTGAAAATTTTAAGGAATTTGCTTCGCACCGCGGAGAATTTTCGCTGAAATTTGCACGAAAATCCACACAACCGTTTTCATGTAAAAAATTAAAGTGCCCGATTAAATTTGGCAATAGCTGATGTGGCTTGGTTCCTTTCTGTTTAGCGCGGTCCAAATTATCCTCTTTTTTATACGTCTCACAGTGCTGCCGTGCTAAGGAAAAACACCGTATGAGCCTTCAGGCGTTGCCAAATTTCTTTTGATAAAACACGAATTTCCTGCTAAACTTGAGAACATTTTCCTTCCAATTTTGCAGATAATTTCGTTTGCAATTTCTCCTTTAGTCCTAGAGAATTTCAAGGAAAAATAATCATAATTTTCCTCAAAAATAAACATTTAATTGAAGGAAATTTGACAACTCTTGAATGTTCATACTGCGTCTTATCCTTAGGACGGCATGGCAGAGCGGTTCGAGTCAATTAGAGAGGCGGGACATGAAATTTTTGAGTAAAACTACAAATTTTTATGTTTATATCGCCACATTTTAAACTTTAAGGGGTGCTTCTTGAAGAAAATTTCACGAGAAAACCAATGGAACCACTTTCAGAACTTCAAAGTTTTGTATAAACGGAGTTATAAGCGTTTGAAGTTTCTAAATTTTGTCCGCGACCTCTCCTATTGACTCGATCCACTGTGCGGCATCATCAACAATAAGTTTTTAAAGGAATGAAAATTAGCGTAGAAAGTCAAGCATATTGGTTCAATTGTTTCATGTTCTTCATTTGGAAGAGGAGGGAGTACCATTGAACGAAGCTCCTCTAAAGTTGTGAGGAGTTATGTACTTAAGTAAATGTTTTTAGGGAAAAATCATCTAGGTCAGTTTTCACGCAACTTTATGAAGAAAAGTTTCAAAAAATTCAACCGCAAACTGTTGGGTATCTCCGACTGTTTCACTGATTTGTCTTTGGACTACATGCTAAAATCAACAAAATTTTTGCTAGATACTACGCATTTATATTATTAAAAAAATTAAAAATTATTATTAATTAAAAATTGCAAAATTATTATTGTTATTGCAATTATTATTGCAAAATTATATTATTAAATTGCATTATTATTAAAAATTAAAGAGCGTTCGAATCAATTTTACTTCGTCCAACAGATTACAAATGTCATTTTCTTTGAAACCCGTACAGCATTGAGGCAATGCAAGATCTTGAGAGCTTCATTTTCATTTTCATCTTCATTCTAGATTCAGAATAACTTCCTTTCCACACTTAGGAATTGTTTTCTTTAGCAAGGAACATGCTTGAAAATTATACGATTAGATATCAATAATCCACCAGGACCCATATCGAAAATTAAAACTGATTTAATCCGGAACTGAGAAAAAAAAATCGCAGCCATATCTTGATTCTCACGGTGGCGATTTCTACCTGTGCATTCAGAAGGAGTAAAATTGAGACGAAGGGGGCATGAAGGTTAAGGCTATTATGGAGGAGCGATGGTAATTATTTTCTTCTGTTTATGGAATAACTTGAAATATTTGCAGGCTGGTCCCTGAATTCTACAAATTATTAAAATGAGTACACTGGGAAAAAAAACACATTGGATCTAGAGTCCAGACTCTTAAAAACATCGAAAAGAAAAAGTACTCTTGATGTAATCAGAATCTAGCTTTAATCGCAAGAACCAAGCCTCTTAATTTAAGTGGATTTCGTTTTGATTCAAGCAAAAATCCGATTGAATCAAGATTGAGTAATTTTTCTTGTCAATGTTTTCAAGAGTCTCGACTCTAGATCAAATGTGTTTTTTTTTCCAGTGTAGATCTAAATTTTTTATCTGCATGAGGATTCTTTACTGTTTTGCCTCAAATAAACTATGCAAGTTCGAGAGCATTCTTTGTGCAACATTAATTGTAAGGCTTGGAAGACAAGGCGCATAAGTGCAGTTTTTGCTATTTTGAGAGATAGGATTTTGAAGTTTCGAATTTACCAGGATCCTTACGGCGGAAAGAAAGTTCAAACTGACTTTTTGATGCTAAAAAATTGAAATTTGGGAGCGAATTTTTCACAGAACAAACATGAAGGCTCTAGTGTAGCTTGAAATCATTAATAACTCAAATTTTTCAAGAACTGCACTTATGCGCCTCCAAGCCCCTCAATTATTGTTATCTATCCGAGGAATGTGTCTTGGGTACCTTAAAACTCTTGTCTCGCAATAAACGATAGCAAACTCTGATGTGATTTTGATGTTACTCGGGCTTTTTTTTTATTCAAGCTTCAATGATTGATACTAAAGTGAATTATAGATAAATTATAATTCACTTTTTAAGCTCTTTGATAAAACAATTCTCTCTCCCGCGCACGCCAAAAACGCTGAATTCTCTCCTCCGTTGCTGAAGTCCGTCATTTTAGATTTATGGGTGTCGTTTTCACCAGACGACCATTGCAAATTTGTTAAAGAAACTCGCAAAACTGACGTCGTTGTGCCGTGACCTGTTTCGTCTCTAAGTTTGCCAAGTTACGCCCACGGCTATGTGCACGGAAGTCAAACAAAACGAGATGCTTCCTCGATAAAAATGCGAAGAAAAAATGAAAAATCAATCCGGATTATTAGAAAATGAGCGAGTGAACTTTCTACTTCGATATTAAGAAAATAAGGCCGTCAGCAGTATCGTTTCATCTTCCCATGTACCTACGTCTGAGATTGTGGACGTGTTTTGGACGTCACATATAATTCATATAAAAATAAAGAAACTATATACTCACACCAGTACACTTTCTATTCAATTTTCGTGAAGATGCTGTTTCTGATCGGGTTTTTTTTCAAATTATGTACAACGTAAATAAAATCATCGTTTGTATTTTAATTTGTTTACAATGCGGTAAAGTATTTAAGAGATCATCCATCGCATATTCAGTGACCGTCTTAGTATCAGCTAAATCTCTACCCGAGTGAGTTTGTTAATAACTGGTAAAGAGATTCTGCGGTTAGATAATGGCTTCGGTTGGTTTCAAAGTATTTTAGACCATTAGCTCTGATCTTCGCCTGCAGCAAAATCCGAATAAAAAATATAATATGTCCTCGCATGCATATTAAAATGCACCCTGTATCAAACATGAATCGCACAATGAAACAAAATCTTCGATGAATTAAGGTCGGATATCGAAAAATAAAATTTCAAAGTTTTAATCTTCAGTTTCATGATTCTAGAAACAATTCGAACTGGTATTGCGAAATTGAAATTTTTTGGTCAGCTCTTCATGGAACTTGCTTCAAAGCCTATTCTATTCAAAATAACCAACCTCCTAGTTTTTTTTTTTTATTTAAAAATTTAAAAATAAAGATGTAACTCATCATCTTATTTACGTATTCATATTTAGAAAATCGGGGTTCTAATCATACGGAAATAGATTTCTTTACGGCTATTTCGGGTAACGCTATTTCGGCCACGAAAACGTATATTGCGTCAAGAAGCAGATTAGAACTTTCTTGACGCAACAAGTGCTTCCCTCAGCGTGACTAAAATCGTCTGAGAAATCCTTTTTCTTCGTATGATTTCTTCGATTAACCTTAGTGCACCAATCTAGTTGGAGCTCCAATTCGTGTTTCCCCCACCAAGAAACGTAACTGCATTCCAATGTTGCAAAATTGATTAAAACAATTTTTTTTAACAACAATTTTTACAAAAATAAACCTGAGAAATTGTTGTCCAAAATTTTCCTGATTCTTGCATAAGATCAGAGGAAAAGTCTGTGAAATTTTCAGTTCAAAATGCCCAAGATTGTTCTAGTAAAATTACAATTCGCGAGCAGAAAGTTGGCAAAATTGAAATGCAGTTACATAAGAGCAGTTACATCAAAATATCGCGATTTTTCCGTTGAAAATCGCTTCTCGGGATATTGTTTTTCACCCTACGGATCTGCGCGTTTTCCGGAAAATCTGATTGTGCACTAGAGGATGAAAAATGTATGAGTAATGATCCTAACGATTTTATCGCCAAAATATCATTGAGAAATCGCATTTTACTATCCAAATATCGCATTTTACTATCCAAATATCGCGAATTTTCCGCTGAAAGCTGCTATCTACTTGGGCTATTGTTTTTAACCAAACGTATTTGCGTGTTATCCGGGAAATCTGAACGTGCACCAGAGTATGAGAAATGAGTAATGATCCTGGCGATTTTATCGCCAAAATATCGTAACAAAATCGCAACTTCCTATCAAAATATCGCGATTTTTCCGTTGAAAACTACCATTAGGGATATTGATGGGGACGTAGAAGATCCTAGCGATCTCATCGCTAAAATATCAAACAAAATCGCAACTACCTAAACATCAAAATATTGCGATTTTTTCGTTGAAAACTGCTACTTTGGATATTAATGGGGACGTTGATGCACCTAGCGATTTCATTGCCAAAACATGGTAAAAAAAATCGCAACTTAATAACAAAATATCGCGATTTTTCCATTGGAAACTGCTACTTGGGATGGGGACGTTGATGATCCTAGCGATTTCATCGCCAAAATATCGTAACAAAATCGCAGCTGAGTATCAAAATATGCGAATTTTCGTTGAACACTGCTACTTGGGATATTGATGTGGACGTTGATGATTCTAGCGATCTCATCGCCAAAATATCGTGAAAAAATCGCAACCCAATATAAAAAAATCGCGATTTTTCCGTCGAAAACTGCTAATTGGGATATTGATGGGGACGTTGATGATTTTAGCGATTTCTGAGCGTGCACTAGAGTAAGAAAAATTACCTGAATTTATGTAAAGAGCCACTCATCGCCAAGGTCATTCATAAGCCCGCATCTCAATCCGCCACTGCGATCTCAGCGGCAAGAAGCTCGAAACATCGAAAGCTCACAGAGGGACCCGCGGGAAACTCAGATCGGGTATCTGGCGGTAAAACCGGAAGTAGCGTGTACCACTGGAAGTGGCGTGGATCACCGGAAGTAGCGTGGATCACCGGAAGTCGTGCGAGCGGGATCGAGCGTGTCGCGCGGGGACGGGTTTCCGACGTCGGCTGGCGGCGAAAGGGACTGAAGGGCCGAGACCGCCCTCTCGAAGATCAGATCAGGCCACGATGGGCGAGCGCCGCTTACCTTTTTACCCAGGTGTCCGCGATGCTCCGCTGTGGGACGCCCCTCCCTCCCGCGACCCCTTCATTTCAGCCCCCGCTAATTTCGGCTCGCCACCCCCACTCCCACCCCCCACCCCGTCCCTCCCGCTGATTGCATCGGCGCGGTAACGCATTTTCGGAATCTTCTCGAGTGTGGAAAATATGATCGTGGCTCGGGAATGACGTCATCGGGGTTTGGGGAGCCCCTCCTGTGGCGGGGGCTTTGCGATTTGGGGATGGTGGTGGTGGAGGGGTTGCGCGGGGGTACGATGGTGTAGCTGCATGTGAGGCCATATCTGTAAAAACAGCGGATATCAAACATCTTTTTTTTTCTTTTTCTTGAGGTGGCCATACTCTAGCAGAGCTTACATTGCCTCCCTCTGTTCGCATATTTAATAATTTTATCATTCTTTTAGTTTCTTTTTATTTCCTCCTTTAACTGTTGTCTCCTTCTCAATCTCGTCCACTTTATTTTTGTCTCCTTCTCAATCTCGTTTACTTTATTGTTGTCTCCTCCTCAATCTCGTTTACTATATTGTTGTCTCCTCCTCAATCTCGTTTGTGCGATTCTGTTTATTTCCTTTCTTTTCATTTTTCTTTTCTTTTTTCTTTTTTCTTCCTGCTTTTCTTGTACATTGCTATCATTTGTCTATGATCGTGGCTCGGAAATGACGTCATCGGGGTTTGGGGAGCCCCTCCTGTAGCGCGGGCTTTGCGATTTGGGGATGATGGTGGTGTAGGGGTTTCGCGGGGGGTGCGATGGTGTAGCTGCATATGATGCTATGCCTGTAAAAACAGCGGATATCAAACATCTGCCGCTCATTTTTTAGAAGTGGGATTTGTTCCATGATAAACTTTTTGACCGAACCCCATTTGCTGCACGGGACATCGAAATGCGCAGCTTTGAAAACTTTGAACGCGATTTTCTTATACTATTTGACGGTCCATTTCAAAAAGATATCCTCATTTGAGATTTCGTCAATAATCCTCATTTATTCTTGGAACTTGAAACGGTTAAATAACGTGAACTCAGTAGAGCAACTATACGTGCTCCTATGTTGTGCTAATTGCCTGCTTTAAAAAATCGGGCGTTTTATGCTCGGATGATCATTATGGTTAGGTAACAGGATTATCAGGGACGATTCGATAGTCGAACGATCAATGCATTTCTGTATCTCAGGACGTTACTAAAGAATTTCCGAGTATTATAATACTAATAGCTGGTAACTGTGTAATTACTTTTCATTTTTCCCTAGGGAGGATGACTTTACATCGTGAAAAAAGAACATTAGCCATAGATGGAAAATGCATGACACTTTTACAAGCTCACTCTCAAACCAATAAAAATACTATACTGAGCATCACTCAAGCTTCCTCATTTCTACTAATTTTGGACCTGAGGGACTCTTAAAATCTCGCCAAACAATCATGTTCTTTCCTTCCTCCTCTTCTTCTTTTTCTTCTACTTCTTCTACGGACGACTAGGGCATCGCCCCATTTGCCAGGCCATCTTGCACCGGGTGCATTAAATCATAATATTTAAGTTGTCATTCTAATGCATTAAAGCATTTATATCATGGAAACATAAATTCGATAATTGTTCGTTAAACCAATGAAAAAAATAACCTGCAATGAAATATTCAATCATCATCAGGACAGGAGAGGCAGCTTTGTGCCCATCTCTTACGGTCGTCTTGGTAATCTTTTCCCTGAGAGTCCATTCGATCAACATGCTCCGACCACATAATCATGCTCTTGGACCAATTTTACCAATCTCTCATTGGTGAATTCGCGATTTTGCCGCGGAGTATCGTTGGAGCTCTATATCTACTTTCAAACGAAATCCATCACTAATCGACTCATAGATCCTAGTCGTCAAAGTTGACGGAATTTTACTCCGTGTAAGCACACCGAGTTTAATCAGCTCTCTCAACCTCACTTCGTTTGATAACTGACTACATGCAATGTGCTTTTGCATCAAGAAATGGCTCGTTGGAACCCCAGTTTTATGTGTAGAGAATGTAAACCGCACAAATGTACAACGATTATCATTTTCCTCGTCCCTTCATTTAATTCCATCCCTTTCTCGGATGGTATGAGTCCCCCGAAGGCGAGGAGGCAGAAATAATGGGGAATGGTAACTTTGCCAACCATGATAGGCTCTTCCTTTGTGTTCGGACGCTGCTTGCAGAGGTTGATTGTCCAGTTCTCCAGTGCTTGTTGGACGGCAAAGTGTGGGAACAGTGAACACATGAGGAGAAGAGAATCAGCATCCGGGTTTTCAGAGATCACTTTGAATCTGTTCCCGAGACTAGTGTATTCTGACTCGCATCTTAGGTCAGAAGCCATACGAAATCCTAAAGAAATAAAGTCCTTTATTTCTTGGACAAATTCCCTCATGGAAATTTTCCTAGCTCACGCTATTTTGACAAGTAGGCGCATGGCTTCCTCTGGATTGAAATTCCGGAAACTGAGAGCTAGTTTGCTCGCACCCAGTGAATATGGGTCGGGATCGTCATTCAGTGAGGCATTCAGGAACTCTCTTGCCACTTCGAGGGATGACATCGAAGGGATTTTTTCGAGTGCCCATTTTTTTGCATTTTGTCCCATTGGTATAGTAATGTTTTTGTCAAAGAATAGGTTCTCGTTTTATCAGGATGTTTTCCCCTGTAACAGATTAATAATGAAAAAATGTCATTCGAAGCATGTAGGATCTAAAGTTTTATTCGCAACTTGGGGCCAGTTTGATTAGATTAAACAAATTCAAAATTCAAAGACTACGCTCTATCAGGGAAATTTTGAAAAGAAAAACTGCTTTGTGCTCTTTTGGTCCTATTTTATTCTTTCATCATTATATACCCTATTTTGAAGAAATCAATAAACCAAAAAATGGAAATCTGGAATATGCATAACCCGCGATGTGTCGAAAAGAAATTTCCGAAAACGTTGGATGGAAAAAAACGAATTAAAGCACTGCGACACACAAATTCTATTGAAATTTTCGTGCCAAATTCGCGATATTGAGGACGACGAGTTTGGATCATGAAATAGTGATTAAAATCAAGTAAGTTTATTTTAAAGAACTGTCCGACAAACAGACAATAAGGAGTTGCATTACTTTTCCCCCTCTGTTATTTGTGCAATGTCATGTCGTGTGTCTAAAAGGCAATGACGAAATCGAACTTTTCGTCATGTGAATCATTTCTGCGAAAAGAATTGAAGTGAAAAAATATAAAGCCGCGATAGATATTTTCACCCAGAATTATAGTATTTAATGTGCCTACTTACTTCAGATTGATAGAGATGCCGCAGTACAGTAGAGTCAGTTTGACACACACAGCTTTACTGACTACTGGAACTTCTAAGAACAGTTGTATTTATTATCAAGCGAATCATCTCTGTCATAAGGAACGACTTGATCACAGCAAAGATTGTCAATATAACCCCATAATTGATGTTTGTTTTAAAACGTATCTCTGTTGATAAGACACTAGATTGTTTTTCTTTCTTTCTTTATTTTTTTTAGTGACGAGGTTACTTATCCAAAGTAAAAATTGAGCAAGTCAAAATTGACCAAGTCAAAATTGACAGCAATGCGACAAATAATCCCAAAATATCGTAAAAAAGAGATGCTCTATGCACAAATTAATTGACCGACGTATTGATGGTGAGTGTCTGAAGAATTCATTTCAATCAGGGTATATGTTGTTGTTTCAACGATTTATATCAATAAATTACCTACACCCGCGTTCCACAGAGTAAATTTCTTGAGAGCGATGAGTAGGAGGAGGATCTGTACAGGGTACTCAGTTTCGATGCGCGGGGCCTACCGTGAACGAGGCATGTTGCATATTTCAGAAAATGAAGGCGCCTTAGATCGAGTTCACATAAATCGATGAAGGCCGATCTTCAGAAATTATTGGGTCATTATTTGTAGAGATAGTACATATCGACGGTGAAACTACCAAACCACGTATCTCGTTTGTGGTGTTTAAAAATCTACGCTCGCATTTTATTTTTTTGAAGTAGACCAAATCAATATCATTCCTTGAAATTTTCACAGAATTTTCTCCGCACAAAGAGGAAAAATCACAGAAATTTTCAAGACTGGACGTTAAGTAGTTTTTCATTTAAAAAATAAAGTATGACAGGAAGTCTGCGACGTCGCAAACCGAGATACGTGGTTTGGTAGTTTCACCATCGATATGCTATAAATGACATAAAATCTCGATGCAGTACATCTAGTATTTGTATACCAAAGACAGAGAACTATAGCCTTAAAAGAGCGTCTAGATTGAATATCGAAAATCGAAAGGCTATACGCACTCACTCGGGATGGTATTTTGGGGATGTTTATAAGTATTCTACAGTGGATCGCATTAATTATATAGTCCAATACGCTACCTGCCCGCTAGTCGCAATCTCTGAGTGACATCGAGAGAAACATCAGTTCAGCAGGACACATTCATCTCCAAAATGTCCCAGAGTAACCTACGGTTTCGGTCGATGTAACCAAAAATGTGGTTGATCAACCAAGTTCTTTTGGTTGATCTGATCGAAAAAAAATAACTCTAAGTTACGCGAAGGGACAATAAACGCGGAAATTTTTAACTGCATGATGCGAGAAAATTTGTCGGTCCATCACGATGCTCCTGTGCTCACGAAAAAGTCGAATATAAACTCAGCTAATATCATATAGACCATATGCTGACGTGCTGAGGAAAAATGCGGTATGAAAATTCGAGAGTTGCCAAATTTCCTTCGATAAAATGTTTATTTTTGAAGGAAGCCAAGGATATATTTCCTTGAAATTTTCAGGAACTTTATGTGAAATTGCGAACAAAATTATTTGAAAAATTGGAAGAAAAATATTTACAAATTTTCCCGAAAATTCGTGACTTACCAAAGGAAATTTGGCAACGCCTGAAAGCTCATACGGCGTTTTTCCTTAGCACGGCAGTATGCCTGTCTGTATGTTACCTCCTCGCCGTCGTGCGTGACATTTTCTAGAGTCTATTTTTCCCGCCAAAAAACCCACAGTCCATTCACCCCCGCATTGAGATGGGTACACCACAAGGTATTTCACGTAAACAGTGTTCATAAATTAGCCGATCTCGTCACCCTCCTCCGTTTTCAACGAAAAGTCACCCCTTCCCCCTTCAACGGAGGCAGCGCAAAGGAACGTCTCGTCAAGTCGTCAACGTCCCTGTCGTCCTCCTCAGAGGCTAAAAAAACACCTGCCATGCTTATCGCATTCTGCTGCGCTAAGGAAGAACGCCGTATGAACATTCGAGCACTGGAAAAAAAGAACACATCGGATCTAGAGTCTAGGCTCTTGAAAACATTGACAAGAAAAAATACTCTTGATTCAATCAGATTTTTGCTTCGATCGAAAGGAAATCCGCTCAAATGAAGAGGCTTGGTTCTTGATTTAAGCAAAAATCCGATTGAATCATGAGTATTTTTTCTTTTCGATGTTTTCAAGAGTCTGGACTCTAGATCCAACGTGTTTTTTTCCCAGTAAGGGTTGCCAAAGTTCCTTCGATAAAATGTTTATTCTTGAGAACAATTAAGAATATTTTCCCTTGAAATTTTCAGACGTTTTGGACCCAATTACAAACAAAATTATCTAAGAAATTGGTAGACAAACATTCAAAAATTTTCCTGAAAATTAGTGATTTGCCAGCGGAAATTTGCGGCAACGCCTGAAGGCTCATACGGCGTTTTTCCTTAGCACAGCAGCATTGCATGTAAGCGAGCTCAAAAGGAGGGGTGGGGGAGGGAGGGAGGATGGTGGTGGTTGTCAGGGCGGGTAAAAATTCAGCATTGAGGACTCGCGATTCTGGCACATGGCTTACTTTCTTTCGGACTGCAGATCACGGCCAATGTTTGAAAGTCGCATCCTCTTGCGCAAATATCGTGCCTAGAAATCGTAAGAATATGGGTTGTCTATAAGCGCAATATATTAAAATAATGAATACCGGCACAAGGTATGATCCACTTGCATCTCTGAATACTGCAATTTAAGTCTTTCAACTTTATTCCATCCGCATAATCCGAAAAAATGGCTCAAATCTAGGGAAACGTGGATTTTTCTCGATTTTTCCCCGATGATGTGGCAACGCCGTGCCGCGATGGGAGGTTCTGTAGTTAGATTAATGTATGTAATTACTGGTGATTTGGCCATAACATATGAAAAATGAAGGTTTTTGGACTTTTCTGAATGAGCTCGACGAGAAATAGCCCCCAAATACTGAAATAAGTACTCGGTTTTCTATGATTTTAGGCAATGAAATATGGCAACACCGGCTTTTTTGGGGGGCTTTAAATCGGAAAAAGTTCTTAGAGGAAGGTTTTGACCACCCACGACCATTTTCTGCCAAAAAGTTTAATTCTGGTGTAAGATGAGTCGCCTTTTTTAAGCCATTTTAAATAATGATGAAAAACAAGAAAAATTCTAAAAAGTTTTTTTTAACTATGAGCGCAAAGTTTGACATCGACGAAAATTGGCCAAAGTGACTCTCTTACATCCCTAATGAACATACTCGAAGGATTTTTTTGTCCTCCGAAGGGATCGTTACGAAACAGCGCGTCGAATGCTGAAAAACCCGCATTTTTCGCCAAAATTGACCTTCAGACCCATGTTTAGGCCAGTGGTAGACCCCGAAATAGATCGGAAATGACAAAACCATTGTGCATTCCGTAAAATATAGACCTTCAATGACCAAAAAATCGCGGAGTTGAGGAATTTTAGGGTGGGGCCAAAAAAGGCCCTTAACGATACTCCTCCTTCGATAAAAATATAACCTGTTGCTGAAAATATGCAACTTATCGATGCTATACATCCCATACCGTTCTGACACAAAATATGGCCTTCCATTGAATCACCTTAATGGTAAAAATACAACCATGAATGACTATTGTTCTGCCGTGCTAAGGACGAACGCCGTATGAACATACGAGAGTTGCCAAATTTCCTTCGATAAAATGCTTATTTTTGAGGATAGTTAGGTACGATTATTTTTCCTTTAAATTTTCAGAATCTTTAGGTGAAATTGCGGACAAAATTATTGGGAAAATTGGGAGGAAAATCTTCATAAGTTTAATAGGAAATTCGCGTTTTATCAAAGAAAATTTGGCAACGTTTGAAGGTTCACACCGGATTTTCCTTAGCACGGCAGTGTTATTGACGAGTTCTTAACGTACGTTATTGATTGGGTATTTTTAATCATAGTTTTCTCTCCGTGCGCGGCTAACTATTGGAGATGGCAGGGGTCAAACGTTGTAGGCAGCATAAAGCTTTAAAAAAAATCCCTCAAAATAGATCCAATTCCAAGTAAAGAGAAGATAGGAACAGTTAATTCCCTTTCTCATCGGTACCCTCATGTTTTAAGAGGAGGCTACTCATCAGGGTGGATCTCTACCACGGTTCATCCGGACGCATTCATGCTAAAAGGAAGTATGTTGCGTACAAGCCCTATGCACATAGTTCTTTTTAGCAAAACTGCGTCCATTTGAACCTCAAAATCAGGGGTTATGACTCATTTTATATTTCACAGATCCACCCACTCAGACCTCCATGGATAGGCTTTCGTAAAGGATAAATATTTAATTCGGAGCAGAATAATACACTTTCGCGCGTTTTCCCCTCCCGAATATTCGATTTTCTCAGCGCTGCCCTTTTCCGCAATTTATTCCGGAATCCGGAAATGTTGCAATTCTTTGGAGCTCTACTCGGAATCTTCAAGATTCACAGATCATCCCGAAATTTCCACCTAATTCGGAATTTTCCCGAGATTTTGAGGTTTTACGTCAGTTTGACCAATGAACCACTAGACAAAGTAAGAATTTAAGCAATCTGATACATGTTTCTTTCTTTATTTTTCAACTAACTCCTAACGAAGATATTTACGTTTTTATTTCACATAGGTTACGAGGAATTTCAACTGCCCGCTCATAAGAAACTCAATAAAGCTCTACGTGAGTCAAATCGCGCACTTCAACAGTTTCAGCAAGCTTCTCAATCAAACAATGTTCATTTCCCACCATGTGTAGTTTAAACTATTATCAATTTGCTATAGCTGAGCCAAAACGTCAAGATTGAGGTTGCCAGATTTTTATATCGCAGAGGCTGTCATAATAACGTTTACCGCGCGATGTGAATCACGAAAATCATTGAGTTTTCATGAGCGGGTGGTTTGAATTCACGCATCAAGAATCATTGAATATCTTCATAAGGAGTTAATTTCGGCAATTTTGATTGTGCGCATCGTGTTCTACGTGAAATTTTGATCTAGAAACATGTATCAGAATACTGAAATTCGTACCTTGTCTAGTAGTCCATTGTGTTAAATTTTACGCTTCATCTTTATTTGACGATCTTCGAAATTATATCCGAGCGGAAGT